TATAACCGCCGTATACAAAGATGATGGGAGCATCAGGTTTTGCGCAGATTTTAAAGACACTATAAACCCAGCTCTCGAAGACTTTAGATATCCACTTCCACGTATAAATGATCTTATAGCTAAACTTTCGAAAGGAAAAAAATTTACCAAAATCGATTTCAAAAATGCTTTTCTACAAGTTCCGATCGATAAGAGCAGAAAATTTTTGAGTATATCTACACATATCGATACTACCAATTTACCAGACTTCCTTTTGGGTTGAAAACTTCATCTGCTATATTCCAACAAATCATGGATCAGATTTTCGGTGATATGAAAGATGTCATATTTTATATTGATGACTTATTAATAACTGGAAATAACGATGAGGCAGATTTAAACAACATCAAAAAAGTATTTGAGAGAATATTATCGTACGGGTTAGTACCTAACTTCGCCAAAAGTTTATTTTTTTTAAAAAAATTTAGATTCCTGGGTCACGATATATATGACAAGGGGATTCATGCTAATCACGACAAATTTTTATTTAATTACAGAAATACACGCAATGACACTACAGGAGTTATACCGTCCAAGAGAATGTTTAACCGTGATATTAGAGTGAAATGGGACTTATTGAGACCGTTGGAGGAAAAGGAGAATATAATAAACATTACTTTACCACGAAATAGAACCTTCAATACAGGAGATTTTGTTTGGTATAAAGTGCAAGAGAATGACACGTGGGACAAAGGGACGATTAATTTGAAGGAAAGCGACACTATGTTCCAAGTCTATACAGAAAAAGGTATTACAAGGAAACACCTGGACCAATTAAGAAAGAAAGAATGCTATAACACATTTGCATACCATGACTCTCCTAGGAAGGACGGAAGTGAGGACAAAAATGTTAAAACTAAGGATAAATTGTAATACCGACTCCTAGACCGATACGAAGTAGACAAAAACCTGTTTATCTAAAAGATTATATAACTTAGTATATTAAAACATGTAAAAATAAATTAAATACTAAAACATGTAAAAATAAATTAAAAACTAAAACGCAAAATAAAAATAAAAACGCTAAAAATATCATATAAAAAATAAAAAGGCTAAAAATATTATCTAACAATCTTGTTGATTTATCATCCTTTTATTATTCTAACATCCAAATTTGATCGATTCTGTAATTATTCATATATTCCGAAATCCTATTTAATAATTATAATTTTACAATTGGTGATAATAACAATTTTGTAAAATTGTCAATGATAACGACAGAGCTTGACGACGAGCCAGCATACTCAAAACGATATTAATAAACCAACGTGATAGAATCATGCCAACGACAACAATGACTTATGAATGACTTGAACAATCAAAATGAACAACCATTTGAACGACATATTTTATATGATAGCTCAGATGGATTATGGGAAGGCTTTTCGGAAGAAGGGGAATGTTGATTGATTGATTTTTTTATTTAACTTAAATTGTTATTTTAAAATATATATTTTGTTTAAATTGTTTTTTTATAATACATATATATATATATATATACCTTATTTTATATTTATTTTTAGTATCATTTTTTAGTTTTAGAATAAAATAATTATAACTTAAAACTGTTTTTCTTACCATCGTTATTGTTATATAACAGATGACATGATGGTAGCTAGATAAGTAATCGAGAAAATTATTGTGAGATATTAAATTTCTAAAAGATTGTCATCCATTTTAAATGATATATAATATATAAACGACTACACAATTGACCATTATTGTTTATCTAAAATATGCAATCATATGCTCTCAGCCGTTGTAGTAATCATCTTAAATTACATAGCAACACAAATAATAGATGCTGGTTAATTTGCAATAATAGCCATGACACTCACGATCAGGGTTGCCATATCTCCCCCATCAGCGGGAGACTCCCGTAATTTTTTAGTTTACTCGCAGACATCTCTCTCCTGCAAAACTACCGCAATTGGAAATCTCCCGCAAAAATCTACCGCAATTTTTTAATTTCTACCGCAGAAGAGAAGAGAAGAGAATAAAAAGTATTTTAACGTTTTTAATATATAAATAATAATTTTGAGAGACATTAATTGATTATTTTTATATTTTTAAAATAAATTTTAAATATTTCGAAAAACATGTCTAGTTTGTAAATTTCTTTCTATCCTGTTTTATTTTTATCCAATAATTAATCAACATCATTTCATTCATATTAGTCAGTACAGGGGAGTATATAAACATCGATTGCAATACAAAAATATTCTCAAAAATTATAAATAATACAGACGCAACTACATTTTCTGAAATCGTATACATCTATCATGTATTTCAACATTCACAGAGCTATATCATCACATTGTGGGTCGAATCCTTTTTCATGATATTTAACGACTGCAATATAAGTGCAAACCTTAGTGGCAGAACAAAAATGAGCAAGGCTATCACAAATGTTTTAGTACCTAAATCCTAGAGGTCAATTATAGACGATTTGAAAGATGGACATCCATATACAATTCTAACAGAAGCATCTAATAAGGGAAATATTAAAATATTTTACCTATTTCAACAATAATAAGAACATTTTAAAACTGTTAATTTTTTCCTCAGATAGTGAAAAATCCAACGATGTAGCTAGCCACATAATGGTAAATATAGCTGATTTAGGGTTATCAATGTAAATTTTGGCCAAAACCAAAGTTACCGAATTGAGGCAGCACCATAATGAATTAATACCAATTGGCTGTATATGCCATATATTAGGTTAATGTGAATTTTGTTTATTTTCATTTGGATAGGCACTACCAAATATATTTATAATATATATTTGAAAAATCGTAATTTTTGGAAAGCCTATATGGTCTAGTCGGTTAGAGCTTCGCTTACTCATTCCATGGTCACGGGTTCGAATCCCGATAATAATTATGTTTTTTTTCTTATTCTAACTTGGTGGTTCCCTTGGGGGTATGATATATAGGAGGCCGGACTCGACCACGTGATTCCATATTAATATATTAAATAATAAGTCTTATTACATTTTAATAAATTTTGGTCGGTATTTAGCAAATTATGTTGGTATTTAGAATATTTCCATACATTCACTTGGTAGTAAGCATCATTAACCCATATATTACAAAATTCTTGCAAGAAGGCAATGAATGTACTATCTGTAGATGTCGAAGTAATTGTGATGAAATGTTTTAACGAATTTAGTTCATCAACTAAAAGAGTTAATGAATTAAAAGAGTTGCTGAAGTGGTCTGACTTGGAATGGTGTGAGTTGTTGCGATATGTACCTATCAGGTGGTTATCATTAAAACCTTCCATAGATAGAATTTTAAAATTTTACGAACCCTTAAATATTTCTTAAATAAAAATTTTAAAAGCTGCCCTAAAATTTTGGAAATTTTTTTTGAAGATGAAATGGCAGAAGCTTATGGGATAAGTTTCACATATAGGAAATCTATTTCATGTTAATATTCAGTTGCAAATATTCTTTATTAAAAAAGATTTACAAATCATGCTACAGCTCTATTCATCTCTACAGTTAAAAATTGATAATAAATTTTATGGCGCTATTGAAATTTTATATTAAAATGTTCAAATGATACTCTAATTAATACATTTTTAAATGAAGCAGATATTTTTATTAAGACAATATTAGAATATCTACAATTAAAATTTGATTTTAATAACTCTACTTACAAATGTATAAATATTATGACCATATTAGCTGTAATATATTATAACTGTCAAATTAAAAGTGGCATTTTATCTAATATTTTATAAACAACTGTATATAATAGAGGATTATAAACTATATTTCTACTTACTTACTTTTTATTATACTTATTTAGACCTTGAAAATATTTTTAGGAATAGGTATGATAATAAATTTTAAAAATAAACATACAATTGATTAGTCATTTTGAATTCTGCTAATTACAATATTAAATTTTTTAGTTTTCAATTAATAAATGATTATATTTATTTAATTAGGGTTGTATAATAATAAATAATAATAGTCAATTAAGCTTCAAAGGCTTCAAATGTTAATGCTAAATTAATATTTAATGAGTGATTTTTTAACACAAAATTTGATTGCTAGCTGACATAGTGAAAATATAATTTATATGTATTAATTTAATCTAATATTTAAAATAGTATTCATTTAATAAATATTTAAAATAGTATTCATTTAATAAATATTTAGATAGTCTTATTAATTTTTAAATAATAAAATTAAATCTATATTTTACTTAATAGAATTATAAAAGAAATCTTTCAGGGGGCAATCAAAAAAATTTATTTTTAGTCTAGGGGTTAAGATTCCATTAAATTTTTTTTATTTGCTTCAGGGGGCTATTCAAATTTTCCAGTGGGCTCGAGACCTTTCGCGCATCCGACGACACTGCTAAATGTTAAGATTTAACTAATCATAGTTTTCATTATTAATTATCAAAATATAATACCTAAAACTTCTAGAACTATAATACTAATTTCCTGGGCGATTAGATTATCTCTTGCATAGAATTAGATTACCCATGCATTGATTTGTGTTAAAAATATAATAAGCATGGGAAATGTCTCTCTTCAAAAAACTAAAAAAAGGAACGAATTACTGACCCATAAACGTACCATGGGTTCCACAGTTGTCATAAGCCTAAGGAAAGGAAAGGAAAGGAAAGGAAAGGGATAATTAGGTATCCAGCCAATTTCTTAAAATTAGATGGAAAAATTATCTGCCTTCTCAGAAGACCCCATAAATTCCTTTTATGTTTATCAAAACATTAGCTACCTAATATGCAGTCCATATTTCTTATCAATTCGCAGTTCCTTGTAGCTTTACAAACTTTTGTCTTCTTTTATCAAATATTTTGAAATTTTTTATCATAAATATTATAATTAATACACCAATTACACTTTATTGAATTACTTTACAGAAAATCATCAGTCAGTCCATCACGTCAAAATTTATTATATGTTAGGTGGTATATAATATCAATTTCGGATTCTATAAAAAACACAACTTTTGTAAATTCAGAGCTCTTACGGTCGAAGGTCCATATTAGTCATTTTTAATTATTTATGAATGGCGGAATTGTTATTAAAATATCGAGATTTGAATGAATCAGATAAAGAATGGCACTATCGTAAAAACTTTCTCCAACACTATATGAATACATTTAAAGATAAAAATAGATTAATTTGCTTGTCAAAAGTATATGCTAATATAGAATTTTTAGGATGCAGGTAGCAAGACTTTAAAATAAATTTCATATTTATCTATTTTAGTTATCCATCTGTTGTCATGGAAGAAATTGATGAACTAACTAAAAATATTACATTAGATGAACATAGCAATGAACGTATAAAATATATATTATAATATAATATCTAATTTTATAATAGAATTATTGCCACAACCAAAAAAGTTAAAAAAGAAATCTGATTTTATTGTGGAAGATGAAAAAAAAATAAGAAAGTACTAACTAAATATTATAAAATATTTTTTTTATTTGTGAATCATAATCTAATTGAATGTTTTATAAATTGTATATTACATTAAAAATAATTGTATCTGCTGATTTCTTGTTTATAAAATATATTAATAAAGAATAAATATTCTCAATTTATATTTGTATATTATCTTAAAATTTAATAAATGTGTCACAAAATTAAACTTGAATATTTTGTTAAATTTGCAGGTCAAAGAACCAAATTCTAAGTTTGACTTTGAGAACGAATCCTATCAATGGTATAAATATATACATTTATTTGATTTTAAGGGAACAATACTATTCATTATCATTTAAGTGCATTATTCCTATAACTTTAACAAGAATTATATATTTTCATGTAATTTTGCTTGTTCTTCTGTTATTTGGAAAGTATGGATAATTTTATTAAACTCAACATCTTAAATGAATAATAGCTCAACTCATGGAGTGCTCAATTAAGAGATATTTTTTTAATTGGTTGGAATACATTTAAAATTAAACAGATATCTAAAGTAAGGAGTAGGATTAGAGGCTAGGGAGATATAAGTTAGGATTTTAAAGGTGGAGATATTGATTAGGGTTAGGATATATTTAAAAAGGTTCTTTAAAAAATTAATAATTAGAAATTTAAATAATTTAGCTGTTGTATGTATCATCAATTTCCTTGAGTTGGAATATAAACATCAATTTTATGAAAAGTATTTTCACATAAATTAATTTAAATTTCATATTCTTATTACATTTGAAAAAAAAACAATGATTAATAGCTCATTCTAAATGTAAATGTAATTATTTTAAAGTAACATTATGGAAGTCTAGTTTCTAAATTGAGAAAAAATAAATTATTATAAGCCTTAGTTGTGCATTTCTTATGTAATAAAAAAATGATTGACAAAAATAAAAATATTACAAACTTTTAATTTAGGCTGTGATGATTATGAAAATATAAATGAAAGGGATACGTTGAATCATAATCCTTTATTATCTCATATAAGTGAAACAACTGTTACTGATAGTAATATTTACCATAAAGAGAAACACCAACCTGATTTAAAAAATGGCAACATAACAAAGGTATCCTTTGATCCGACAGAATTTTTAGATTCCCCCCATTTGTGCGAAACTCCTTTGCAATTAATCCAATCAGAAGCTGCTAAAAATATCGATCAAAAAAAGAAAAATAATAAAAGCCTCACAGCTACTACTACTACTGGCCATATTGAACATAGCGCATCTCTCAACAGCTCTTCAAATGCCAACCTACGTGGAGAATGTAAGGTCAATAAAAGCGCCAAATGCGTTAGCAGCAAAAATAATATGAAGAAGAACACCAAAGTTGAACGTGAGATGTACAGTGAAATTTCTTGCTCTACTATTGAGAAAATTTTTAACAACATAAGTTTAGCTGCCCTTAAACACTTATCTTTAGAACCAGTCGATTCGAAACCCTCAATACCAGATACCCCCAAAATTATCGTTGGCCAGGTCAAAAATAATAACGAGAAACCAACAGTTGAAAACGCTTTCAAAAAGGATGCAACGAATAAAAGCGTTATTGAAAAGGACGCGTCTTACGATACACGTCCCGCTGGTAGGGAATCGGATTCAAATGGCGTAAAGCTGGATACACCCTCCGATGCCCTCGAAAATGTGACCCCATTATGGCCGTTAAATGCGAAGCATAATTCGACACCGATTGGCGGAAGAATAAAGAAATGTAAAAAAGGTTCGGACACCCAAAAAGGCACTCCATTTTCCACCACGAACGAGGTCAAATGTGGCGCCAAAACTGGCACCTTAAACGGAACACCATCCGGTACGCCGAATTTAAAAACGATTAATAACAAGGCAAAAATTTTTGAAGGCAAAAAAAACGGTAAAGAGGACAAAAATTTGAAGCTTGAAAAGGATGTTTCATCTAACGAAGGAAATGGAGGAATATTCGGCATCTATGATAGAGACCATAATGTTATAGGGCAAATAGACACGGGTAAAGATGAGATCATATCTAAATGCTTCCAAGGTCCCTCTGGATGTTTCAGCAATGCTAAACGCCGGATACTTGAGCGAGCTTACATGGCGGATACGAGCAGCGGGAACTATATGCGACGAGAAAATTTCGCGCCCCCTTTAGCCAATTTCGCGCCCCCTTTAGCCAATTTCGCGCCCCCTTTAGCGGATTTTGATCGCATGCGGATAGATGCTAATTACTTTGCGAAAGTTGGATACTCGTTAAATGGATCATTTCTATCGCTTGACGTAGAGAATTTGGAATACCTCGTGGAAACAAATCAATTCCAGTTATTCCAGCGTAAAATTGATCCTTCTTTCTTTCCCATCTCTCAATGCGATATGCTAATGTAAAAAAAAATTATAAAAATTATATACGCATCTATATTTTAAAAACCATTTCCTAAAAATTATCATCATTTTGCACATCAATCCATCTATTTTTCTTAATTTCGATCCACGAGTATATATAAGGTAAGCGCGATGTTGCTAGGGCTCAGCGGACATGTTTCCTTGATTCTATATATTCTCTTATCTGTTAAGGAGTACTCATAAAATTACAAAGCGAATTTTGCATTATTCATTAATTAGGTATCAGATTGAATAGCGACCCTTAATATATCCTTGGATGTAGTGGGGTTAAACGACCCGACCCGATTTGGACGATTGGGCCTCTATTTACCAAATCTATAGGCTTACTTAATATTATATTTTTGCTAAGATCCTAATCAGGCCGTTTAAACAACACTACTTCGATTTATCACACATTTTTCTAAAATTGACAGCTGTCCTGATGGCCTAGATCAACGTTCGTTTTATTTTTTGAAACTCATTTCCGTTTAGCCTCAGGCTTATCAGCGCCTTTGGGATCCCTTAGGGTTTGTTTTTAAGTTTTGTACATAAAAGTCAGGACGCTTAGACTGTATTAGAGGAAGCTATGATAGGCAGCTAAACGAACGGCTGTTTAGAAATCAATCCTAGCTTTGACACGCGCACAAACACCATTTTGTATAATACGAGACGAAAGAAAATGGTAAAGAAATATTTTTTAGTCGTAATATTTATTAAAAATGTCGTATACGATGATTATACATCGGTTATCTAAATAATTCGTAGTCATTATTCATCAAATAATTCCGTATTTGTATTCGTATTCGTAATGAATAATCAAATCATTATTCGTATCTATTCGTCTAACATTCGATTCGAAATTTTAAATTATTTTAAATGCAATGACCTATAATAATACCTAGACTGACGACGATGTATTCATAATAATGCATTTGAAAGCGTCGTCGAATGCAAAATCAGCTGGACCCGCCATTTTGGTAACCCATATAGTAATTATCTCAGGTTAAAAACTATACTATTAAATTGATAACTCGCTTCCGCAATTCTTTGATAAAGTTTGCGTCAGCCAAAGGAATAAATTGGTCTCTCGTTTAAATTTTTTAAAATTATTATATGGGATACTAAAATGGCGTCCCCAGCTGTTTTTCATTGATATACACTTTTAGTGAATGCATCGTGAGTCTAGGTATTATCTATATGTCATTATTTAAATGTACATTTTCAAAAAAAAGAGAAGAAATTTGTGGGAAATAAAGTTTTAATAAAAGTAATAAAAAGTTCCTCAAGGAACATGCAGAATACTTGAGAATAATTTTAAATATTTACGAAAAAATAATTTTTTTTCGATTTTTCGAGTTAATTTTGTTATTCCCATTTATAAAATACCGTTTTGTGGGAGTAGGATAACTTTGAAATTTTTTTTATTTTTTTGGGGGGAATAGAACGAAAAAGCGATATGGCCGCTTATCAATAAATACTGTCCAAGAGATCGTCTAGACTTGCTTTACATTGCGTTTTTTTTGAACGCATTTTAAACGCGTTATTGTGATAATGTAAGTTAATAAGTTAAAAAAAACTTGAAATTTTTTTTTACCTTGAATAATATTTATTTAATATACTAATCATGATATCTTATTAATTTCGGTGCCATAATAAACACCCATTTTTTGAGAGTTTTTAATCCCAACCTAAAAAAATTATATGCCCTGACTTGCTCTAAGGCCTCGTCCCAATTTTACTTAGTTAACTCAGAAAGAAAGAAAGAGAAAGAAAGAGAGAAAGAAAGAAAGAAAGAATTTTTTGCATTGAAAAAATTCAGTTACGATTTGTATCTTCTGGGATGAGGCTCATCACCTAAAGCTAAAAAAAAATCGGTTAAGGCTTTTTAGAATAGAGTTTAATCACGTGATTACTTTAATTTGCTTATTAGATTTTTGTTCGTAAATGGGGTGGGAATTCCTTCCCCGAATTTATCGACCATCTATCCGTATTCTTATCTAATTAGCTAGCGAATTTATTATAGGTGGGAGGGTCAAGAGTCCATACCGCGTAGACGCCTCACTTGCGGACGCCTCTCACCCCCCCCCCTCCCCCCCCAAAAAAAATAAAATACGGGAAGTGGAGTGCGGGCGTTTGACCTCTACAATTTACACATTCATTCTATCCCAAATCTTTTGGGTATTGATGTATTGGTGTTGAACGTTATTGATTTCTTATCCGTATATATATATATATTAGATAGGCGGTAATTATTTTTTCCTAATCGGTGAGGGCGTTAATCACTTATCCGATAGTTCTGTTTTGAAAATCCAACGAGGATCATATGGGGGGGGATATATAGAATAACGGACGGAACAGACAGCATGATCCCCTTGAGATATATTCTAGAGTGTAAGTGGGCTTATCGCATTTTGATAAAAATAAGGTCGTTATTTAGCGAATATTACTATATGACCACCAACGATATATATCATTACACATATCTTTCTTTTAGCTATCTTCAATAATTTTTTTTTTAAAACCTCGACCAAAAAGGCGAAACCTAAAGTTTAAACCGTATCTGACCATCCCTGCTAACGAAAGCGTCGGCGTGAAAAATTGTCTTCACTCAATTTCACAGTTAAATATGAAATGCGAGATTACCACAATTAGCGGACCGAATAGGTCTTTCAGGTATATTGCTAAATTATTAATTTAATGGCGAAAAATTCTGGGCTTGGCTTAAATTTTAAAAATATTGAAGATTCGGACAGGGACAGGCTGATTTTTTAAAGATTTAGGTTGCATTCATAATGGCATCCGATTCGATTTCACAGCTGATCAATTTTAAAATTCTGTTTATGAGGTCAGTTTCTCTTATAATTTTAATCATGAAATAGAATTAAGATAAAATTAAATAGATTTTTTAAAATTGATCAGCTGTGAAATCGTGTCGGATCGGATCCCGCTATGAATGCGGCCTTACAGTGCGCACAAATTGAGAGTTTCAAGCGCTGCGTTGCAAACGCAGATAAGGTATTGCAAATGGCATCGTGCAAATTGGGAAAATTACCGTTTGGCGTTGGCATCCATTTTAAAAAACGAAATAGTTTTGCTTTTTCCAGTACTTTTTATTCTTTATTTTGTAAATATTATATAAAAAATATATATATATAAATCAATTTACTTATATATTTCAAAATGGAATATTTGGAGTTTAAAGAAATAAAAACACAGACGATAATATAATTTTCTTTAGTTAAAATTTTGAAAATCGACGATATTAATGAAAAGATAACCTCAATGTAAAAGAGAGATGCGCATGCGTTACGTTTTAACGGCAAAACTCGAAACGCTCAATTTTTAGCAAATATATCAGCTGTTAATTCTCTTTACTTCCTCATTTTTTGTCCAATACCCCTTTTCTAAAAAAATTTCAAAAAAATATTAACCAAAAATTATTCAAACTTACAGAACAAAAAAGAATCGCCAAAAAAAAGATTATCAAAAAATTAAAAATCCCAGACCGGAAATGATTTTCTCTTCTTTCAAATTCGGGACGAACCTTAAATATTGACATCTGCAGATTTCTGATTTACTTAATAACGTTTATGAGCCCTCAAATGTTTAGATAACTTGTTTTACGCAGAAATACAGAAATATGTATCTCCGTATAAATATACAAGAAGGAAGGAAGGAAGGAAGATAGGAAAAATTTTCTAACCAGATAAGATGGAAGAAAGCGATGTAAATTTTATTTTCCCCTATTTCCTTCCTTTTTCCCTCCTAAAATTTTTGTCGAGGAAATTAACATTTATTTACTATGAATAAAAAAAAAATATAATTAATGGACGGCCACAAATTTTCATTAATTTTTTTTGAAATGGCGATATATATATTTTTGAGATTATGTTTTTATTTCATTAAAAGAAAATAAATTTTTGTCATCCGTTATCGAACACGTGACATTGGAGCATCGCTGATATTTGGTATAATATGGAAAGTTTTGCCACAAACCTAATATTTCACCTGTAAAACTAGTGTTGTTAAACGGCTCGTTTTGAGCCGACATTTTAAAAACGGCTAACTCATTATTTATTCTAGAAAGATTTTGCGCAAGCATGTGGATTTTGCTCTTAGAAGGAACAAAGGTTCTAGACATATATTATCGATCGAGGCTTAGGCAATATTTTTCTGGCTAAAATATTGAGTTAGCCGTTTTAAAGAATCGGCTTAAAACGAGTCTTTTAAGTGGGGTCGACCATCTTTTTACGAGGAACTGGCACTTGACATCTATTTTGTATGTGAAAATAAAGCACTATTTTTTTACTTCCGGTTAGTAATAGTTTTAAAGGCTTTCATTTTTGTTAAGTAAGCGTATCTATATTTTCTAAACGATAGTATTTTAAATAAATGAAAAAAAATCAAGAATCGAAATATATTACGGTGACTTTTTGATGACGTCTGTCAATCATTATTCTTCCCACTTTGCTCAGAATTTGGCTTGTATTCAGACCTTCAACATTTTGAAATACATTCTCCCTTACATCATAGTGGTTAGTAATATAATATATTTTTTTTTATAAAACACCTTAAAATCAGAACTAATTATTATTATTTTTTTCTAGACGTTTTTGACCTCTTATATTACGTAGATAGAAAGAATGAAATGAATAAGAATGAATGAAAATAAATAAGAAAAAAGAAATATTTTTTAAAAAAAGGAATAATAAATAATATAATTTAAGGAAAAAGACATGACGGATTGTCCATCTAACTTCGAAGAACTCCTACCTCTTCTGTTGTCTGATGGCGTTGACGGAACGGTGAAATTATATTTAATTGCATTTCATACTTAATATGACGACCACTTTTGAAAACGATTAGCACCGGGGCATGATTGGGCATGTGCCTAGTGATGGTCAAGGTTCGGTCTTTGGTTCGGACCGAGACCAGACTGGACCACGGTTTTTGAATAAGATTGATTCAGACCGCAGTCCTAAATAGAAAGATTATTTCAAAAATATTTTTATTTTTACCTAATTCTAATTCTTGTTTATCGGGACTCCAAGTAAGATGCTTCTTTGACAAGTTTATGGTTATTATATTGCAAAAATAAAAAACTGAACTAAAAATTCGCAAAAACTAAAATGACTCCTTTAGAAAAATAACATAAAAAATTATATTAATTGAATCGTAAAGCAAACTTAAATATTAATAAAAGGCCGGACCAGTCTGGACTGTGGTCCTCAGAAAAGATCGGTTCCGGTCTATGATTGGACCGTTGGCCTTCACATGTGCCAACTATAGCGGAAAGTGATTTCGATGAAAATGACAGTTTTTTATAACCATGCCGATAATAGAGCCTGGAAAGTCGGCCCAAAGTCCTCCTCGGGCCAAGGCCAGGCTAAGCTTGGCTCGACTCAATTTCTTTGATTGACAGGACTCGAATCGAGACCGATTTGTCTATATCAACCAAATACTCCCCCCCCTCTCCCCCTCTCCCACCTTACAAAAAAAATAGAAGAATATTCATTATTATTTATATAGTATAGTTAGTTGTTCCACACAAAATAAGAACAAATTAAAAAGTTTAAAAAAATATATATAACAGTACTTAGGCCATGTTCTGACTAGCCTTATTTCTAAGCAGAAATGTGCTTAGTCGGTTTATACAACTTCTTCTAAACAAGTACGAAAAAGAAAGCCATTTTAGATTTAAGTGCACGCATAGAACAAAACAGAATAGTGGGGTCCCAGAGTTTTTAACTTTTAAAAGTAGCGCGCTACCGCTATCGATACCCATCAAAAAAAGTATCGCGCATGTCATAGTTCAAAAGCTGAATAGAATGGTATTTATATGGAAAATTAGGAATAAGACGAACCAGGAGACATGGTCTTATTCGTATACCATTTTTGTTAAAAAAATACGAATCTACTATTCGTAATTATGCAAATCAAATACGATTAAAATATTCGAATCGAATAGACCTATATCTTAGGTATAAGTTACATGCGAAAGTATCTGACCGCATCCGTAAGTATCTACTCAAATCCATATCATCTTTAGTTTTATAGAGTTGAATGTTCAAAAAAAATAATTGTTTTTTTTGCTGTTTTTTTGGTTTTCATTAGTTAAAATCCGCTTTTATTTGAAAAGTTTGAGTTTCTCTTTATGTGGCCAGATATTGACCCCAAAGAATTTTAACTACTCTACCGCTTTGCGTCAATTTTATACAAAAAAAAATTCGAAATATCGGAATGCATTTAAGTTATACCCAAACTAGCCTTGCCCTGGCTTCTCGTATTTTATTTTCGACTTCCCTTTGAAAAAAAAACCGGGCACAAGAAAAAAAATGAAGCGGCAAATGACCGGAATTTTAAGAATAGGCCCGGCCTCTAAAACCCGGCCCGGGTCTGAAAACCGGTATAATATAACGACATAATAATTTATTTATATATTTTATTTTTGTTTCAAGACCAAAACTGTAAAAGGGAAGCAAGCTCCGTTGACCGAAAATAATATCGGTTTCCAAATGTTAGCGAAGATGGGCTGGAAAGGCGGAAATTTGGGGAAACAATCCGACGAGGCGGATAACGAAAGTTATAGAGGTGAAATATTTTTTAATTTGAACACGTGAAAAAATAAATAAATAAATGCTACCTAAATTAGACGAGTATTTTGAAATTTTCTCTTTTTTTCTTTTTATTTTCTAAACTCTTTTTATTTTTTTTTCATTTTTTTTTCCTATTCCTTTTTGTGATTTAGGCCATAAATAAATAAATAAAAAAATAAACAAAAAGCGAAATTGGATCAAATTTTAGCCAATCAAGGCCGTAAACATTTTTCCCGCCCTGATATTCCTCCCCTTATGGCCTTGCCGACGAAGAGCGTTAAAACTTCCACTCTCGACACAAAACAATGGGGCAAAATCGCCTCACGTTTCCAGTGCCTCTCATTGAATACGGAAGACGGAATCCGATTCGACACTCTGGTTTTTGAACCAACGCTTACAGTCAAGCTAAGGGTACGAGCTTCTTTTTTTTTGATCATGATTTGACATGAGGACATAAGAAATGTCCGGTATAATCGGCTGATTCGTCGAAATTTTTAATGACAAAAAAATCTTTCGCCCAATAACCATTCTTTCCTCTTTGTTTAATTTTCCCCGTTTAGACCGTTTCTTTGCATAAAATAATATAATAACATATTGCGCTAGTTATAAACCTATTTGATTGGTCTATTTCTAATGGCACGTGTTAATAATTGGGCAACGATATTATGATGATTTGTCCTAGTGTTTGATTTCATTTTCTGACAAGATATCTTTAAGGGAATGAATGACCCCATATTTTGTCAATTATGAAACATAAACTCTTAACGCGTCAGTTATATTTTTATATACTTAGAGTTATAGGGTTCTAACTACATTTTGAAGCCAATAAATAATAATGCTCACGGGTTTCGCTTATACACCTTCACATTGAAAGGCCCTGTAAGTAATTTAAAAAAAAATAGGGATACATGTCCTTGACGAAATTCCCGCCATCTATATATCGAGAAACGAATGTAGTATTCGGTCATTTATTTTAACCCTCGAGCGTATAAGATAACCCACGAAATATTTTTTTTAAAAAAAACCGACTTGCAGAGGTACCATTTGTACGGCCCGGCCCGGTTTTTTTTAAAAAATTTTCTACCCGGGCCCGGCCCGGTCTTAGTATATTTAAAAAATTAAAATGTGGGCCGGGCTTAGGGCAGGCCCGCAGGTCTCTGAAAAAAACTGATAAATCTGATCAAAGATAACAAATTTAAAATGTGAGGCGAGTAGAATGAAGGAGTTACAGAGTCTCACCGTAACGCAATTTTTTTTTCTTTTCATTTTACCTTTGGGCTGTGCGGATCCGCCAATCAAATTCTTTTATACATCAGATGTTTACACAGCCGGTATTGGTTTTACCTGAGTAAATTTTGGAACGGGAACGTAAATAGAACGCGTTTTCCGGAACCTTCCCGAACCGGTCAAGGAACGCTCCTAAAAAAATATATATAAAAATCTTATCCATTTTTCTAGTTGCATATATTAAGTTACTTTTTATTTTCTTTTCTTTTATAATAATAATAATAAATAATCATTGATCATATTTAATGGAATTTTTATATTACATATATGTATATATATCAATATAGTAATTCGTGTGTTACATATGTATCGCAATTCATATATTACATATCAATAATGTCAATCATCATAATAATGTACCGTATATGACATTTATAACACCTACGATTTTACAACTCCGCAATCAGGCGATTTGTAGGTTTCCTGGATCTTTGTTTCCGCGTTTCTAGTTTTCCGCTTCCTTCCACATTTTCCAAAATCTCAACTTTTTCCGACTCTCCATTTTTTTTCCATTTTCTTCCTCTCTATCTCTCTCTCTTTGACTCCAAATTTTCTTCATTTTCTTTCTCACTCCCAGACTTCTCCATTACTTTAGCTACCTCCCATTTTCGAAGTTGATCCGCATGCTTTCGTAACATTCTATCCTTGCTTTCTACCAAATACCAGTTCTGGATTTTATAATTCCTTCTCTCCAACCTGAATATATTTCATTATGTCCTCATACCGGTTGTGCAATCTCGAATTCCCTCATTTGAATGTGTTCATCGTGCGCTGTTTTTTGCCGTATATATTAGATCGTTCCATCTCATTCGGATATAACCAATTTAATCCAGTTTTTAGATTTCGCCCAAACAATAATTTTGCCAATGAACGTCCAGTTGATTGGTGCTCGTCCATTCTGTATGCTGTCAAAACTTCTCCTATAGCTTCCTCTGGCTCCCTAATATCTTTTCTAGTGGCAAAATATCGACTCTTAAGTGTTCGTATCGTTCTTTCAGCTAACCCATTCGTCTTGGGATGGTAAGATGTTGAATGTATTAATTCAATATTTTTCTCAAAACAGAATTTCCGAAATTCCCCAGAAATAAACTGAGGACCATCATCTGACACAATTTGTCTTGGCGTTCCAGAACGTGCGAACCATTTTCTTAGAGCCCTGATCATTGTCGAAGACGTGGTCTCCTTATCAACTCCTCAACCCATTTAGAGTGTGCACCAACTCCAACTAACCATGAATACGAATCAATAGGTCCCGCGAAATCCAAATGAATGCTTTCCATCCATAATTGATGTTCCACGAATATAAAGGGACCTCCATTATATTCGACCGGTTACTTTGACATGGCATACATTGACGAACATGTTGTTCAATGTCTTTATCGCAATTAGGCCACCAACAATACATTCTAAAGATTGTCTTCTTAGCATTTATTCCTGGATGCCCTCTGTGTATAATAGTTAATATTGATTTCCTCGAGGCGGTTCGAATTACCAACTTTCCATTCAATGACGTCACGATCTACTGACAATTCCTCTCTACTATTATTGAAACAAACTGACTCTGCATCATTTTTCTCATCAAACCCCACCCATCCTCGCCTAGCTCAATGTTTTTATTTACTTTTTTAAGCAATCTGTTTCTTCCAGGAGTTCAACTTGACCAGCAAATTTATTAGCCCTGATTTTTAACGCACGTTTTTGATCGTTATTTGACTCTACACCTTCTACTGGCAGTCTAGATAATGTACCAGCTACCATATTTTCTTTTCCCGGTTAGGTATTCAAAATTAAAATCATATGCGGACATTTTCCATGCCCAGCGCGTTAATCGACTATTGGAGCAGTATAAATTTTCGTCCAAAAATAAAAGTAAATTTTTCCATTCCAAACAAAAGTGCTCGTGCCTCTTTTTCTATTGGTCCATAATTTTTCTCCGACTCCAATAATGTTTCGCAAAGAAAATGCGATAGGTCTGTTAACACCCTTTTTCACTAAATGACGCAGCACAGCTCCAAAACCAGTGTTGGAGGCGTCACATTCCAATATAATTGGCTGGTTTGGCGAATACGGAATTAGCGTTTTATTTGTTGACGAAAGCTGTTTTATTTTATCGAATACCTCTTGTTCCCTGTCAGACCAACCCCAGGAACTTTTAATGCTCGTTAATTTAGGCCGTGGAGCGGCGATACCATACAGATGTGGCCAAAAGCTCTCGTGATAATTCACGAGTCCTAAAAAAGTTCGTAATTGGTGTATAATCTTAGGAGTTGGTATCCTTCGAATAGCATCTATTTTTTCTTTCGCTGGGTGAATGCCATTTTTTGTCTATTACAAAACCTAGAAAATAAACTGATTCTTTTAAAAAAACGTATTTCCACGTCTACGACAATGAGCAGAGCTCTAAGAAAATGGTTCGCACGTTTAGGAACGCCAAGACAAATTGTGTCACTGGGGAATTTCGTAAATTCTGTAATACATTCAACACCTTACCATCCCAAAACGAATGGGTTAGCTGAAGGAACAATACGAACACTTAAGAGTCGATATTTTGCCACTAGAAAAAAAGATATTAGGGAGCCAAAAGGAAGTTATGGGAGAAGTTTTGACAGCATACAGAATGGGCGAGGAGCACTTATCACCTGGACGTTCACCGGCAAAATTTTTTTTGCTGATGGTGAAATCTAAAAAACTGGATTAAATTGGTTACATCCAAATGTTAAAGATGAGATGGAACGATCTAATTATACGACAAAAAAAACAGCGCACGTTGAACGCAGTCAAATGAGGGATTCGAGATGATTGCTCAACCGGTATGTGTACATAATGAGAGAAGGAATTATAAAATCCAGAACTGACAGACATTCTTATTATTTAATATTTCTCTTATCTCCCAAAACACATCATCTATATATTCAAAATATAATCTTGAAAAATTGTTTTGTTTATCGAAAGATATCAAATTCTAATTCGTGTAATATTATTTGTTTGATTAATATTCAATTCGCCATTCTTATTAACATAAAATGTTTAATTCATAACTTTTAACCAATTACGGTAGTTGATTTTTTTTCTTCTTTATTCATAATAAGAAATTCGTCGCCAATATGGGATTCGTATATTACACACATATATATATATATACATATTAATATGGTAATTCGTGTGTTACATATGTACCGCAATTCGTATTATTACATTCAATCATGATAATGTATCGTATATGACATTTATTACATTTATGACATTAATAATATATAATTGTATCTCATTTATAACAATATTAATCTATACAATGCGACGACATATAATAATACCTAGACTGACGATACATTCATAACGCGTTTGAGCGTCGCTGAATGCAAATCAGCTGGGCCCGCCATTTTGGTTTACCATATAGCAATTATTCTCATGTTAAAAAACTACAATTAAATTGATAACCTGCTCCTTACTATCTCGATGATCAGACGATTCATTGATAAAGTTTGCGTCAGTCATAGAGGAATAAATTGTCCTCTCGTTTAAACTTTTTAATAATGATACGAGTAACCAAAATGGCGGCCCCAGCTGTTTTTCATTGATGTACGCTTTTAATGAATGCATCGTCATTTCTAGGTAGTAGGTACAATTAGCAAACAATTAGTAGATTTAAAAAATTTCTTAAAAAGAGGTGAAACATTTTTATTACTTCCTTGTAACTTTCCCCTATTTACGGGAAAGTGGAAGTAACTGGATGCCTTGGCCTTTATGGCTTTGGCATCCCTATGGCTTTATTAAATCAAATTTTTATATCACAAATATAAAAGAAAAACAATAATGAGTAATAACCCGATATAATAAGTATTTATATAAAATAAATAAAGGGGATGATTCGTTCTGAGTGGTTATATTGTTTTGAAATATTTGATTTAGTTGAGTAAGTCGGTTGAGTTGATTGATAATTCGTCACAGTGGTAGGATAATGTAGTATTCAGGCTGGGTAAATCGGATAGCAGGGAAGGTGTACTGATCGAAGATTCTTCTCCGAATAGTGAGATTTCATCTTGCTGTAAGGTTATTTGGCTGGACAGGATTTGATCGCCAAATAGGTCAAGATGTTCCCTTTGTGCCATCCAAACTCGGGAAGGCTCGTCAGCTGGATTTTCGTGGGAAGGAATCCATTGAATATTTTGGGATATACTGGCAAAATTCCTGAGTCCGATTTTTAAAAGAATCTGCGTAATCACAATTTCGATAGAGGGTGATCGGGAGCCACCTTTCTTGTATGTATAGTAAGTGACGGTGGAATCGGTAAAGATCATAGGCCTTCTTTCGCTACTTAGGGCTAGGATAGCTCCCATGCCGGCTGCTAGAACCTCTTTAGCGTTTATGTGTTGGATTGCATGCGAGGGAATATTAAAGAGGAGGCAAGCTTCGTTATAAGAGATTGATTTCAGTTCTGTTTCCCAGATGCATGCCCCTATGTGGGAATTTGAAGCGTCAGTGTACACCGGGGTGTCAGCATAATAGCGGAGTGAGGGGCACTTTCATGGCTTCTATGATCATCTGGGCCTTCTGGAAGGCTAAATAGGTATCCGTAATTGGTGCCAAGGTAGAGTTGTGCATAGTAGAGTAATATGGGGAAAATAACCTGGACATTCCCGTTATCGTGTATGCGTAGTGATTAACTACCCCTAGTACTTTGGCTGAAATTAACAATAATAACAATACCTTCTTCCGCCACAGTGGTCCAGTCAGCGTACATAGGAAGTGTCGCGATATAATCCGCCAACTCCTGGATGCAGAGATCATCGAGCCCTCAGACGACCCGTCCCAAGTCTGCTCTCCGCTATACGTTATCCCGAAAGCGGACGGTTCCTCCAGAGTGATCAGTGACTTTGCCCAGGTGTCTAAAAACTTCTTACATTATCCGTTCAAACTAAAATCAATCCCGCTAATGTCTACTAAATTAGACCAAGCTAAATACGCCTGCAAGATCGACATCCGCTCAGCCTTCTTCTCGATCCCTCTTGCAGCAAGCGTCCGCAAATTCTTCGGCCTCCGATTTGACAATGCAAATTATGCCAACAAGGTCCTTCCAACGGGAGCCTCATTTAGCCCATACTGCTTACAGTCTATCATTCTAGATGCATGCGCCAAGACTGTAAGAAAGGCCATCTACAATGTATACCTAGACGATATCCTCATCTATGGTGAAAACGAGTTCGACGTCAAATGGTCTACAAGATCACTACGCTGTACGCTGGAAGGCTGGGGTCTGCAAATTGCCCCGGAAAAATCCGTCTTAGACCCCACGGATCAAATCACCTACCTTGGTATCCCCATTAACCTAACTACAAAAACAATACAAGCGGATACCAACACAAGAAAAAGGCTAGAAAAATGTTTAGCTGTATTCCGTCGACACTCCTATCAACACCTCGAATTAGGTCGACTCTTGGCAGCCAAAGTACTAGGGGTAGATAATCACTACGCATACACGATAACGGGAATGTCCAGGTTATTTTCCCCATATTACTCTACTATGCACAACTCTACCTTGGCACCAATTACGAATACCTATCTACCTTCCAGAAGGCCCAGATGATCATAGAAGCCATGAAAGTGCCCCTCACTCCGCTATTATGCTGACACCCCGGTGTACACTGACGCTTCAAATTCCCACATAGGGGTATGCATCTGGGAAACAGAACTGAAATCAATCTCTTATAACGAAGCTTGCCTCCTCTTTAATATTCCCTCGCATGCAATCCAACACATAAACGCTAAAGAGGTTCTAGCAGCCGGCATGGGAGCTATCCTAGCCCTAAGTAGCGAAAGAAGGCCTATGATCTTTACCGATTCCACCGTCACTTACTATACATACAAGAAAGGTGGCTCCCGATCACCCTCTATCGAAATTGTGATTACGCAGATTCTTTTAAAAATCGGACTCAGGAATTTTGCCAGTATATCCCAAAATATTCAATGGATTCCTTCCCACGAAAATTCAGCTGACGAGCTTTCCCGAGCTTGGATGGCACAAAGGGAACATCTGGACCTATTTGGCGATCAAATCCTGTCCGGCCAAATAACCTTACAGCAAGATGAAATCTCACTGTTCGGAGAAGAATCTTCGATCAGTACACCTTCCCTGCTATCCGATTTACCCAGCCTGAATACTACATTATCCTACCACTGGGACGAATTGTCAATCAACTCAACCGACTTACTCAACTAAATCAAATATTTCAAAACAATATAACCACTCAGAACGAATCATCCCCTTTATTTATTTTATATAAATACTTATTATATCGGGTTATTACTCATTATTGTTTTTCTTTTATATTTGTGATATAAAAATTTGATTTAATAAAGCCATAGGGATGCCAAAGCCATAAAGGCCAAGGCATCCAGTTACTTCCACTTTCCCGCAAATAGGGGAAAGTTACAAGGAAGTAACGGCACTGTTTTTATTTTTCTATAAAATTTAAATTTTTTTTCTTTAAATAAAATTTTAAATAAATAGTAAGAAAAAAATATCCATAGCTAGGTAAGTTTTTTGAACGTTGTTTTTCGACACTCAAATTTATACTAAACACTAATGATCTATTTCAGGGCCCGGCCCGGCCCGTACTCCCCCTCCCTCCACCCCCAAGATCCAAATTTACTTTAGTCTTAGATGAGCCTAATATATCTAAATAATTTTTGTTAGGGCTATGACAAAATTTTTTTTTTTAAATTTCGGATGATATTTAGGCCCGATGCAAATCTCTACTTAAACACCACAAGAAACCAAATATAAATGATAAATATTTTAGAAAATAATATTATGTTGATAAATGTGTAGATTTAGAGAAAAAAAATATATATAGCTTATTTTTCTAGGAACGTTCCTAATGCTGGAACCGAGCCGGAACGAAACCATATTTTTTGACCGGAAAGGGAAAGCAAATATGCTATTCTTCCGTTCCCTGGCTTTATCCAATCATTTATGGTAGAATATCGGAAAATATCAGATCGCGGTATATAACAATTTTAACATCAAATTTACCAACTCTTTGATCATCTAACCGGGGTCAATTGTGCCGATTATTACATACCTTTTTTTTTGTTGTTATGTTTGTTTTTCCAATAGAGTATCGTACATCAATCCTGCATGAAACTCGACGTGAAGGCCACGAGTTACGGGAAGGGGTCGCAGAGACGCCTACACATTTTTCCTTTCAAAAGTTACAGACACTTATTGAGACACTTGAGCCAGGAATCCTTGATACCCCCGCTGAGAAGTGCGTGGCTAGCGCAATACATGGACGAAAAGGACTCCTCTTGCGGTAATAAGAAAAATAAGAGCAAATCCAGGAGGGAGTCAAAAATGGCCTCTAGAATGCCCGGGAAAGTATCTGGGCAAGAGACCGAGAACTTGATTTCGAGCCAGAAGCTCCATGATCGTTTGAGGGACGGAGGGACGATCGCCCAGGAGCCATGGAATCAATTACCCATTTATCCCACATCTTTACTCTCCTCTCATTCGAAACGGCTCAAAAATAGCGAAATGATGTACGATCATCATATGCCTATCAACGATTCTGCCATCCCGCAGGTACACCAAGAAGGGTACATGACGAACGAACCTAATTATCAGCCAATGAATTTGGAGCTGGAGGACTATCAGGATATTCAAATCAAAAGTCAGCCCGATTCTCACCCCATGCTCGATCCCGACATGGAATCATTCTTTTCCGGAAACTCATTTCCCCTATCCCGAATGAACCCCGAATATTTCGAGTTGATCCACGAGAATAACTCCTTAGTGTTTTACAAAAACACGCTCCTGGACAAGACGGATGCTTTCAGGGTATTCGACCCGTTAAGGTTAGCGCGTTTTTTTGTTTGTTCGAAATTTAAATAAATAAAGGTTAAAGCGCGGTTAGCGTTTAAATTTGTCAAAGCGATCACGATTATCCCGACCCCCCTTTGACATTTGGGGGGGGGGCATTTTATGTACAAAGGTACTCGTAACTAAAGCGAGGATCAAATTCTAGTAATTCCAGTTCTCGTGAGGCGGTAGTTTTAAGGGGGTTCGCCCGACACGCGCAATAAGGTTTCGCATTTTTAAATCATCAGCTGAGCGCGTTTTTATTAAAATTTGAAGATCCGATTTTGCCGGAAATGCATTCCAATATGCTTAGAAATAGCCACCCTATAAATCTCGTCTCTTACAAATTTATGAGCGACCTTTGAAGAAACTTAAAATTTTATAAATTAATATTTTTTTCGCAATTTTTCCCAAATATTTTTTTAACGCAAATTTGGAATGTCTTCAAATGTTCGTTATAAAATTGGTCCCAAATTTATAGGGTAAGTATTTTGCAACCTAGTGGAAACATTTAAGGAAAAACAACTGCTTTCAAAGTTGCTTAGCCTAACGGGCTGGGCGGTTAGCCTATTAAAAACAAACAATATTTTTGCTAGAAATAAACAATAACTCTATCTAGAAAATAGGATTCTGAAAAAAATGGTTAAGGTCAAGAAACTGGCGGGGTTTTTTTTATAAGAAAAAATCTCCAGTTTATGGGGAAAGCAACTTCCGCGAATGGCAAATCGCTCGATTTTGCACTATATGAAGTTCTCACCTGGAATCGTTTTTCATCTTCGAACGAAGAATAACGAACAAGATAATACGATATTTTATTTTTTAAAAAAGATACGTTAAGTTATATTTAAAAAGGAAATTTCCCGCGTTTTTCCCTTATACGTGTTTCCGTTATTCCACGCCCTCCCTACAATTTCCGCCCGAATTTCCGGTGAATTTTTACTTCTTGGAATTGAATAATTTTTTTTAAAATTATTCGATTGCTCTGCGATTCGTGTTATATCGTGTCGCGATTCGCGAATAGATAATATTTCGTTAATCACGTTTCGTATAAATTTTTAAATAACTTTTTGGCTTAAGCTATGAGCCATATATTATTTCCTGTCACCTAATAAATTACCTAATAATATTATTACTACGATTTATAAGCGTCCATTTTGCTTCTATCGAGTGCTGTTAGGAACTGTAGAATCCCTAAAAAACGATTGGGATTCATATGAAAGTCATTGGACCAAGCCCAATTTTTCTAAATAATTGCATAACTAGCTTTTAAATTGTAAAGCGTATTTTTTTTTAAAAAAAATTACATGTAAATTATTAACGTTTCGCTTATTTCTTTTTTTTTATTGGCGGAAATTCAAGTTAGAGTTTCGGTGCGGTTGAAATTTTTCGGGAAGGGTTTTCGGTCTGGACCCAAAATTAAATCGGGCCAGCTACCCGCTCCGGTTCTTGATAATTTATGAACGTAAGAAAGATATAAATTTGCCCAAATCGTAAGCAACTTCGGGGCTCTGTTGCGCATGCCCGGTCGGAAAATCTTTTTTTCCCGAGGGCCGGACTTTGAACCGCGCCACGCCGTGACCTTTTATTCTAATTCCTAGGCAACAAATTCTTAGCATTATTTATAGAGATCATCTTTCTTAAAAATTTATTTTGGTAATAAATAGGAATAAACAGTTTTTTAAAATTATTCGTTCAAGCTAATATTCGTTTTACCGGATCGAATAATGGAAAATATTCGATAAATTCGAACTGATAAGTGAATAATATTCGAATAAATGAAACATTTCGATTCGAGAAATCCGATCGTTGGTAATATACGTTTTCATATCCTATACTACTTCAGGCATTTATCGCTTATGATGCCTAGTTTAGGTACGCGTGACACGTGACTTTGACACGTAAATTTGTACGAAAAAAATATATAAATGCTACATGAATTCTGACAGGGATAATAAAATGAATATAAATTTATTTTTTCTTATTTTATAAAAAGAGAATTCCTTAAAGAATATTTCGTATTACCGATCCGTGACATAGATAATCTGAATTACATAATCGATACCAATAAACGCATTCGTTCACGTTTAAAAATCGTCTGCCGCCAGCAAGAAAATTCTTTTTTTATGTTTTAAATATTTTTTTATGTTATTTTAGAAAGAAAAATAATATTATATTTAATTTAACCCTTTGAAGTAGTTCTATTCAAAAAAAAAGTAGAATACGGACCGAATAATGAATTATTCGAATTCGATTTTATAAAAGGAATAGTAGATTATTCGATTCGTTCAAAAGAATCAAATACCGAATAGTTTATTATTCTTTTTCGAATAGACCCTTGAGCAGTATTCTGAGACATATCAACATCCCAACAACGTTATCTTTTTCGAGGAAAAAGGAACGCCATTCGTTACTTATTTACCAAAGGGTAACGAGTATCGCGAAAACGTTACTCGTTACTTTAAATCTTAAAAAAATATTTAATTTAATTTATACGTTCTATGTTTATTTTTAAATTTTAAAAATAATTTGAGCCGAGTTCTTTTTTAAATTCAGATCAAACCACCAAAGTTGTTCATCTTTTAATTTTATCGCAATTTTATCTTTGTTAAATTTTATACAGTCTTGTCAATCTAATTAATAACATATCAATCAAGTTATCTTCGGTCTAGAATTGGAGCTTATCCACTTGACATTTTTTTGAGTTGGTGGTGGGTTTTAATATTGATTTAAATTCCAGTTAAAAAACGATTTAAAATAATGTTTATTTTTTTTGGTCACGTTATAAAACTGCCATTTTGGGGCTTATTGTCATAATTTTTGGCTATATATGCATCATATCATATGATAGCATCATATTTTATAATCACTCTCGCGCGCCTTTTTTTTAAAAATTTTATTTTACGGTAATAAAAAAAATTTAGCAGTTAAATAGTGGCATACATCTTCTTCTCAGTTTAATGGCGATTTCCGGGTTCACCCAGGTTGGCCAGTTGTCCCTCTGATTTAAGCGTTAGGGAATTTTGTAGCAAAATTTTTTACAATCAGATGCCCTTGCAGACATCATCAACTTCTTTAGGTGTTTTTATACCCCGTTGAGGAGACGGTGATCCTATTCTAGACCCAGACCACAGGAAAATCTTTTAGACCTCCATAAGCTGCCAAAGGGCGTTGCCCCTCCCCCACCGCGATGAGACTGAAGGTAGGATTGGGGTGGGGGAATCCGGCTAAATTATAATTTCTATTAATAAACAGAAAATTAAATAAAGATTGTATATCTATATAAATTAACCTCTAGCTCATTATTGCCCCTTAATTTAATAAATTATCAATCAATAAAATTGGAAATGGAGCAATTGGAACAAGAAATATGTCAAATGTTTATTTTGCTCCACTAGGGTTAAAAGGCTATTATTTGGAAATAGTGTTTTTTTTTGTTCTCTTATATTTGAATCTAAAATTTAAAATCGTTTTTCTCTTGCTTTAACAATTTTGTGAGTGGAGTTATACTCCCAATTCTAGATTTTCTAGACCGACGTTGATTGATTATTCTGATTCTTCTAATATTAATAATTTATTTTGTAAATATATGTCGATAGTACACATTTCTTGTAAGGTGATTTAACCTCTGCCCTGACCCCCAAGTATGAAACAATTTCTAACACAAAATAAAGAAAATGAAGCCGACACTTTTTTAAAGTTATTTTTTTAATTTAAGTAACGAGTAACTCGTTACTTTTTTTTTGAATAGCGAGTAACGCGTTTCCTTTCTTTCGCATGGTAACATTTGCAGAAGTAATTAAAAGTGCCGACACGGCCCAAATTCCGAACTCAACCGAATCTGAAAGAGTGCCTAACTGAACGATTCAAAGTTCAGTCGGGTAAGGCAATAACACAGATGATCATTGTAAAAAAAAAGATAAATAAATATATATTATTTCCCTTTATATCAGGACATGCGTTTCTCTTAACAAATTCATGATTACCTCGGAATGTCATCCATCCAAAGGATATTCAAGAATATCGGCTTTAGCAAAAACTGCCAATATCATGAAACACATTTCTCCCTACATAATCTTGGTAATGCTAATTTACAAAACAATTTGCGCTTATTAAGCAAATTTTTTTTAGGAGTTTATTTTGCATGTATATAAAATTCTTGCATTTTACGCGTTGGTCTTAGCACATGGTTCATAGTGAGGGTATGCTATACGCCCAAGTTCCACATAATTGTGCAAGGAATGGGTGGAAGGGGGGGGGAGTTACAAAGGGGTTGAATTGTTTTAAAATATCTGTTCCGTTATTGGAACATCAGTAATTTTGAAACATCTTAGGATTGATGCAAAATCTAATATTCCACAAATTAGGTTCTATAGATGCTAGAATATATCTCTATGAAACACTGTCCAGCTTTTAGTTGAGGGCCGTGAGTCCGGTCTATATGTATTGAGGGACCATAGAACCGACCGAGACCTACACTGATATAAAGATGGAAATCTAATTCATATATATTATCCATTGTTTTTTATATATAAAAAAAACAAGGAAAAAAACATGAGCAAAGTTCCGCCCAACATCCGAACAATCATTTTACCCGCCACTTTCGATTTTATCATGAAACTTAACTCGAAGGTACATTATCAAATATATTGTGTTTCAATTAAGATAAAATATCTTCTTTTTTTTTAAAAAAAAATTTAATTTTAGAAATCTTGGAATGGAAAGACCGAATTCTCGCCATTCAATTCAAATACTATCGGTATATTGCATATTCCTCCTTCCCACCACCCACTTCCCCGCCAAATTTTAAAGACTCAATAAATTTTTTTAATACATATTTGTTTTTATAAAACTCATTTTGCACAAATTAGAAAGGATGTCAATCGATTCTGCCAACAGTATTATCCCCTCTTCTCAGAGTCACTCCTTCGATCAGATCCTAGAAGCTTTACTCGTAGATTTTTCAAAGAGAAATGCTCTTCACGCGACAGCGAGAGCTATGCATACTACCGGAACTTTTGACGCTCTCATTTTGGATAGAAAATTTACGCCGGACGAATTGGTTAAAAAAAAAAGATAAATTCTTTTATTTTTTTTAGCGTTTTTTAGAAAAATACTTCGGTGTTTGCGTCGTGTTTTTTTAAAAATATTATGACCAAAAGGTTAATGTTTGCAGAATTTCATACGTTTCATATGCATTATCATATGAGTTATTTTATTAGGGAAGGGACGTTTGAAAAAAAACAAAAAATCAAACGAAAAAAACTGGGTAAAAAAACAAACTTAAATTAAAATTTCTTACAAAAATTATAACTTTTTTTTTTAAAATAAACCCAAATTTAACACAAAATTGTTCATAAATTATAAACAATTTGTGATAATGAAATAAAAAATTTACAATAAACTATTTGGTAGTTGCTAGATTATATTTTCTGTGAAAATTAACTTATAAGTTTTAAAAAAAATTAGCGCGGCCCGTTTAGACCCGCCCCGGTAATTTTTTTTAGACCTAACCCGGCTCTGGCATTGCAAATTACCGTTAAAAAAAGTATATATTTAAAAGGCAAATTATCATAGACGGAACCCGTCTTTAAACCGGGAAACATTTTCAATTAGATAAATACTTTCTAAAGTAGATATACTTTCCTTTTCATCTATTTCCGGGATTTTTGTTGACCAGGAATTTTGAAAACACTTTTCTAAAATTTAATTTTATTACAAAAGAAATAATAATAGTATCTTAAAAATATTTTATATATATACCTATTATAATCATCCCATCATTTTATTTCATATAAATATTAATTATCAAACACCAATATTACATCCCATAAGAAATTAAAAGCCCAAAGAAAAATTTTTTTCTTGATCTCGAGAAAATATATTTTAAAAAAAAATGTACAATAAGTGTCAATTTACAAATCGACAAGATACGACAAATAATAAGTTTTAAATTTTTTTTTTAGTAACCCCAATTTAGCGAAACGAGCAAGGCTATGTAAACTATTTGCGATAATAAAAAAATTAACAACAGAATGTTGAATCATATTTAAGATGAATGGTTATAAGCGGAAATATGTTTTTTTTTCTCGAAAAATCTCAATTTTTTTTTGAATATATATATATATATATTGCTTTTTTTAAAAATTTGCCGCAGACGCGAATCAGAAACGCTTCCACCAGGATGGGATTCGAAGCCAAATTACACGACGCGACTTTGTTTGTTCTCCCTTATCCCAATTACGACGTATTCATCGCCGACGTCATAGCTACTCCTTCTACGTCAAAGGACAGTAGGTTTCGCTTTCCAGACCAGACTTACCCTCATAACTCTCAAAATTTCTCAGCTTTCCAAAATGGGCCTAAAGGTAAGGGCAGCAACGTTATCTATTACCAATCGACATCTCCCCCTTACGACAATATACTTGGCCGATTTTCTAAAAACCGTTCGTCTAATCTCGAGAAATCAAATATATCGCCCGTCCCTCTCAATATTACGTTCAATGCCAATCATATTTTACCGCGACGCATAACGCCCATTACTAACTACGGCTATTTTAGTAATAATATACCCTCTAATCATAATGATAACAACGTTTTCGCGAACAACATGGACCAAGGGGTTAGCTGTACTAGTAGTAGTGATAACTGTAGTTCTTATTACCCCGAATATTACGAATATGGTAGCGGCAGAGATGAAAAAGGCGCCACGCGCTCATCGAATTACCAAGGCAATAATAATGATTTCGACGGAAAGCGTATTAATAATGATTTAAGCGAAAAGCGACCCTATTATTATCAGCAGAATTCTCCTTTCGAATATGAATGATTATTTAGCAAGAATTTTAAAGAATATTTACATAAAAAATGATATCTACTAAATTACCAACACTGCTTCGAGGCATAATTTTATAATGATTTGTTTTTATATATATAAACTTTTTTTTTTAAAAACTAATCAACGATTTATATTGTTATTCGCAAAAATAGAATAAAGCAAATCAATATACTAAAAAAATAAAAATAAAATAATGGCTAAATTTTATTGGGGTTTTTTTTATGTCCTATATTAAAGCTGGCAGCGACGTCAATATTTTCTCGATCATTCCATATACCAATATATTTATTTAAAATCTCATGATTGTCATGGCGTGGCCTGGCTAACCTAAACATGGTGAACCTGTATCCAGAACTCTGATCCGAGGAAAGTTTGTCGTGAAAATAAACCCGAAAGGCTTTCTTCCAGCTCGGGTCCATGTTAATTTTTTTCTTTCTAAATTTAATTAACATCGAAAACTTTCAAAATTTAGATTGACATTTTTTAAAAATTTGATCGACGTTTCCCAACCTGAACCGAAACTACTTTTGTTTAAACGCACCTTGAACCGAACCGGTTTCACTGTTTAATCAGGGTTTAACCCCGAATCGAACCTCGCCACAAAACTTAGGTTCCAATTCGAAGCTATGGTGGTGTTCAAAACGAATACCGCTTGGTGTGAAATACCAAGTACTAGTTTGTTTAAACGGCTCGATTTGAGCCAATTTAAAAAACCGGCTAACTCAATATTTTAGCCAAAAAAATATTGTCTAAGCCTCGAGATTTCGTTAACAGATGTTCAAACCTTTGTGCCACCTATGAGTATGAGCTGAGTTAGCGGTTTTTAAAAATCGGCTCAAAACGAGCCGTTTGACAACACTACCAATAGCCATTAAATCAATTAAATGTTTAGCAAGCAATGCCCAATAAAAATGATGGTATTTAAAGATTAATTTTCAGACAGCATATTCAATAGATTTATTAGGTATTATTATTTTTTGGCTGCATTTTAGTGGAAAACGGCTAATACCGAAGAAATTTTTGGGCGTTACGAAAAGGTAGAATATGTGTGCTGAATAAATAAATTATCCAGCGTGAGGTTCTTCCTTTACCGCTAAATCCTTGGGAGAACCTTCCAGGGAACTTATTAACATTTATTTGTGAATATCTCTCATTCTTTTTAAAGCCTTTTATTATTCTGTAAAAAAAAACTATTATTTTTTACTAGAGGCCGATTATATCAAACACTCACTTTTCTCCTCCTCCTTAACTACGTGTTCCATGATTATGATATCCTTAAGGGGTACTCCCCTGAGTTCTTCTAAGAGCGGAGACAGCTGTTTTAGTAAAACTTGCAATATTAAAAGAGATGACTTTTGCTAAGTATCTTTGAGTTTACAAGCTCAATTTATTACTTGATAGTTATAAATATACAATCTTCCTTACTAAGAAACTTTAAACTTACATAATGAAGAATGGATTTTTAAATGCCATTTCTCTTTTTTTTGCGCATGCGTCATTAGGTTATTTATTCAGTACCCGCCCTTTCAAACGCTTTTTTTTTTTTTGGAAATTTTATTTTAAAAAAATCGAAAGAATTCAAAGAATCAAGGAAGAAAAGTTTTAAAGTTTTTTTTTTTAAGAAAAAAAAATTATTTATTGTAATTATTATGATAGCAAATGATTTATAAAATAAACAAAATAAAACTAAAGATAGATAGATTCTAGGAATTTGAGATCTAAAAGTCGGCCCGGTCCGATATCGGGTTCGGGTTAGGCCGGCAAAACTTCGGGCCGGGTTTGAATAATTAACCCCAATGCAGATGACTACTAAGGAATATAATTATCCTGTTACATTTTTATGGGTTCGTTTTTTTGGAAAAAAATTTTGAAATGGGAAGAGGAAAATAAATGTTTAATAAATTTTGTACAGGGGAGACCGGGGATAGTGTGATCCTGGGGTAGGTATTTCCTTCACGAATAATTTAAAAATTGATAAAGTTTAAGTTTTGAAATCTAAGCCAAATATGTATTTAAATAAGATGCTTAAGTTGGTCCAAAAATGTTTAGGACAGAATTGCTCACGAAAAATTTTAAATGCAAATTTAATTTTAACATACCAACTAACTTTTTAAAATTTTACATTTTCACTAATAACTTTTTTTTATAAACGTTGTTAAGACTTAATATTAATTGTAAAAAATATTGACACAATTTATGGCAATTTTATATTTTAAAATTAAATTTTAATTAATTGTGAAGACCTGGGGCAGGTTTTGGCGGGGTACGTATTTGCCATTTTTAAGCAGTGATTATTTTGAATAAAAAGAATTCCAACTAAATTTAAAAAAGCATTAGAAGTCACTAGTTAGTCTAGGACCACTAATGACAATATGAAGATGATTGACTTATTTTTTTGTAATTATATGACAGATTAAAGTGACAAGTACTTACGGGTGATTTATGTGATATATATAGATGAACCATAATATATTTAACATATTTGACAATTTATTTTTTATTTATTTACTTAGAAATCAACACTTTGAATATAAAATTTTTTTTTTAAATCTAAAAATAAAAAAGCGCAATGACACGTAACGTGAAAGTATAATAGGTACCCCAGGTGTTTGCCATTTCTCATTTTTTTTAAAAATTTCACATTAATTAAAAACTAAATGATTTTTTTTCACCATAGAGAATATATGTAAAGAATAAAATTAGGTTAAAACATTTTAGAAAAATTGCATTGTCTATTTTTTTACAGCACTTCAATTTTTTTTTGGACAAACTGTCCCCGGTTTCCCCTATAAGAAAAAGATTGCATATTTTAATAACTTCAAAGCTAATTTGAAAAAAAAAAACAACAATATTATGATTGGTGCCTATTATGTCCTTCCAATTAGATGAGCGATACATTCTAATGATCTTTAATAAATGGTACACTTTGACTTTTCCCGTGTGGGAATTTGAATCGTACATAATTTTTGAATGTTTTAAAAAAAAATATTTACAAAAATATTTTCAATTTTATTATACCTTTTTATTATTGCCATATTGATGAATGGGATACGAGAATCCATGGAGATTTTTGGGAATTCTCAATTTTTATATCATTTATATGGAAGACAAATTTTGGAATTAGAAATATGATTTATATAGAGAAGAGAAGAGTGTCTAAACTTACCTACTCTATAAACCATAATCAATTTTTGCTATATACCATTGTGCGTTTTATTAATTTGCAGCAAGTTCGATTCTCTGCCAGGATTGTCTTTTATGTTATAAATAATAAATAGCGGAAATTTTTTTTTAATTTTTGAAGGAATTAAATGAAACGCGTATGTGCATAGTTTTAAACGCGATTTAAAACTTATTAATTGCGTTTTCCCGCGAGAAATTCTAATTATTTTCCATCAAAAAGTAAGGAAAAATAAAATTATTATAGACCCCTAGCTTCGTCTTAGGTGATACAGCTTAACCTTTCAGTACCCGAAATATAGTAGGAAAGTGGGAGAGTACAGAAGAAGTAGACTGATGTTCAGATCTAAGTAGATGAGGAAGCTAATGGCTCTACGGAATGAGTGTTCCAAATTTTTAATAATTGGGATATGATTGAATGATCATCTCATCTTCTCGTGATTATTCTAATCTTTGGAAAATAATTTCCCTAAAATAAAATTTTTTTTTTCAGGGTATCTAGGTATAAAAATGTGGTATCTGTATCTAGATTGATTTTTGATTAGAATATCTGTATCTAGATATTATTTTAGACGTATCTGTATCTAGATCCATTTAAAAAAAAGTATCTTTTTACAACTCTGATATTTTTTGAAGAAACTTAATAGCTCAATGTGTACAGGTTTTTTTAATGCTTAATATTTTATAAACAACTGTATGTATATAGTAGATGATTATAAACTATATGTCTACTTACTTTTTTATAAAGAAATCTCTTATACTTATTTGAACCTTGAAAACTTTTTAGTAATAGGTATAATATTAAAATTTAAAAATAAATATACAGTTGATTAGTCATTTTTTAACGCAGCTAATCACAATATAAAATTTGCCCAATTTCAATTTATATAATTAGGATTGTTATATAATAAATTAAATAACAAAAGTCAATTAAACTTCAACCCTTAAAGCTAAATTAAAACCACATGAGTTATATATATATATTGTATTTTTAATACAGAATTTGATTGCAAGCTGACATAGTGAAAATATAATTTATATGTATTAATCTAAACTTAAATAGATAGATTCATTTTAAAAAAAAATTTAAATAGTCTTTTTAATTTATGAATAAGAAAATTAAATCTCTATATTACTCAATGGAATCAAGGGCCAATCAAAAAAATTTACTTTTTGTTCAAGTGGATCCGTTAAAAAAATTTTTTTTTGCTTCAAGAAGCTTTTTTTTTCCAGGGAGCTCCAGCCCCTGCACCCCCCCCCCCCCCAGCGACGCCACTGATTTTATTTCAGACATCGTAAACATATTCTTATACATCATAAACGTTCTTACACCATCTTCATTTAATATTTCATTATACTTACACAATCTTTATATTAATTAATACATAATATTTAAAGTTTTTTTTTTTTGAGTATATAATTGTTTCAGGTTTTTTTTTTTTGTAATTATTATAAATTAGATAGCGCCAAAATCCAAATCTCAATACGAACGAATCAAGTTTACTCAATTTTTACCTTTAATTGGATGATAACATTATCCACCAGAGTTCCCAATAGTCAGCATTCCTGTGCCTGCTTTGCTTGTTCCATTGCTGTGGCCTAATTTAAACTTGCCCATTTTGGATATGCGGAAAGATATTGGATTGTTGAGTGAAAAGGGTTTAAAAATATTCATAAAACAATGGGCACGTTGAAATTGAAATGTATTTCAGAGCGAGATGAGCGACTGATTTCTATTTAAGTTTCAGTTAAAATTAAAAAAAAATTATGGGCAATCAGAAATTTTCATCTTTTACTCAATGATGAATGAATAATAAATTTTACCTTTATCCACTGGGAGCTGCCATTAATCAGCAATTGCTGTGCCTGTTCATTCAT